ATTTCCGGAAGGAAACAAGCAATCTTACACTAACAGACCGCACGTCAAGGCAGTTCATAAATATTGTTGAAAGGTAAATATGCATCCATTGGGAAATACGTGAGCAATTTTTAGGCTTTTCACTTGTTGCCTTCGGTTTAGTAGGATCTACTTTATTTGTGTTTTTCAGCAAAAAGGACTATACCACGTGAACGATCCATCGAATGAATAATTTTTTGACTTTTTGTGATCAAATTTTTCTGAAATCAATCTTTCGCAATATTGGCAAAGTCGACGACTGATTACAACTGTAGTTTTTTATTTTTAAGCAAATTGCCAGTGAGGAAAACAGTTTTTGTAGTAAAAAAGTAGACGTCTACAATTGATTGCTACGCTAAGCAAAGTGATTTATGGGCGGACGAGGAACTCATTTTATGCTTCCTTCAGTACATCGATTGTCCCTTTTATGCAAGGCAAAAATGCCGTGAATTACACAGCCAAACTCAGATAGCAATCAGATCGGTATGAATAAGAGATAAAGATACCAAATGTCTGCAGTGTTATTGTTCCTGTCTTCCATCATTGGCAATAGTTGGGATGTGCTTGGAAAGTTTATAATTAAATTGGTTCTGTGCGTTACGACTACTGACAACTGTAATGCTCGATGGATGATTTGTGTTGAAATGGATTCGAATGATTTGATTTGATTGAAAGCTAACTGCACTTTTCAATCTCATTTCCACTTCAAGCAATTCAGTCAGTACTTTTCTCAGATAAATTAATTAGACTTCTGTACAGCTTGCATTCCGTCCAACAAATATTTTTGAAAATTACATTTCTCTAAGCATTTGTTTCAGATTCAGTGTCTTCGAATGCGACACTCCAAAGCCTAATTACTTGATGGCAATATATTTTGCTACTTATGTGAATCATTGAAAATAACTGATATCATTTGCAGACATGATGAATGGAAACTGTTTTAAAAGATAATAATCGTGACAATTTGCGCTCAACAATGATTCTCATCCAAACTTGGCTGTCTCCCCTGCAGAACGCAATTTACAACCTACTTTTCGTCGAAATAAATTTAGCTTACCAATCTTTTGTACAACTTTGTCTTTTCCTAACAAATTGTGGCATGTAAGTGATTCTCTGATGATGGAAGTTTTTTGCGGTGTGTGTTTCAGACCAGTCGTTCTTTTATAAAAATAAGCTTTCTCTCTCAAACACCGACTTAATTTTTACTTTCACACATCTGAATACAGCATTCCAATATTACT